AAGGAGAGGAGAGCAGTGGAAATCTATGGGCCGGTCCTTGGGATGGAGGAGGCACTGCTGCTAGCAAAGCCCCACCCTGACTCTGGGGAATAAAAGGAGAGGAGAGCAGTGGAAATCTATGGGCCGGTCCTCGGGACGGAAGAGCCACTGCTGCTAACGAGGCTCCACCCTGACTCTGGGGGATAAAAGGCAGGGGGTGGAGATGGATAGCTCAGGAGGCTCTCTGGAAGCTGAAACGGGGCCCGTTTCTGGACTTCCTGAACTTCCGGGAGGCCCCCCTTTTCCGCCCTTCCCGAGCCCCTGTGCATGCCCTGCGCTTACCTGCATCCAAAACGGGCTGCGTGGGGACTCCGGGGTGGGGCGGGGCGGGGCGGGGCAGGGCCAGGTGTCAGGATTCCGGCAGTTACCCCGTTTTTAAATCATGAGTCTGGAGCCAAACTTCCAAAACTTCCAAAGGATTTATGGGAAGTTAAACATGTCCAGCACTGCCTGGGTGTAGCTGACTCTGAGACACATCATTCCCTGTCACCCTTGACCCTGGTTTTCCCTCCACCCCACCCCCTGGGTGTATCCTAATTCATATCCTCCAATGAGACACCTCCATAGGCCAGAGTCATCAATCAGGCTCTCCAGTTAGAATTTTGTGCGGCAGAAACTTCAGTCGCCTAGTTACTCTCTTTGAAAAACATTTATGGAATGCACTTTTGGTTTTGCAAGCTGGCGCACGACTCTTTCGGATCTCTTTCCCCCTCTCCCTTTCTGTTGGCAGTTCTTAAAAAGACCCTAGAAATATTTTATGAGTTGACACCAGGCGGGAGTGGGATTGGGGGCTTCTCTGAACTGCGCAGAATCTTAGCGAGGGGCTCTCGCGAACCCCTGCGAATCCCCCAGAAACCCACCCCTAATTGCTCCCCGTCTTGGTTTCAGCATCCGTGCCATCGAGAGCCCGGCCAAGGAAGACGATACCACCTGGCTGACCTACTGGGTGGTGTACGGCATGTTCTCCGTGGTGGAGTTCTTCTCCGACACCTTCCTCTACTGGTTCCCCTTCTACTATGCCGGCAAGGTATACGGAGAAGGGAGGGAGGACGAGGCGGGAGGGCGGTCCCCGCCAGATGCGCTCTGGGCATCGATCAGCAGAGACTCCTCGTTCAGGGGTAGTCTATCTGAGGGTGCCAGGTTTGATGGCCAGCGTTGGGCTTCAGGCCTCAATGCAGGTGGAAGATTGGGGGCTCCGGGAGGGAGTTCCCTAGAGATCCCCTTCCTTCCCGGATGGATCCTAACCCCGCCGACCCTCCTCTGCTGCCACCCCCCCTCCCCGCAGTGCTTCTTCCTGCTGTGGTGCATGGCGCCCTTTTCGTGGAACGGCTCGCAGGTGCTCTACCGCAGCTTGATCCGTCCGTGGTTTTTGAAGCACCACCGGACGGTGGACAGCGTCCTCAGCGACCTCACGGGCCGGGCTGCTAGCGTGGCCTCCGCCGCCTCCCGGGAAGGTAAGGTGATCTCAATGTCCTCTGTTGTGGAGAGGGCGGGGGGAGGAGGGGGAGGGGGAGAATCCACGGGCTTGCAGGCGCACTCGCAAAATGGAAGGCAGGATGTTCATGGTGGCCTCCCTGGAGGGAGCGGTCTGGGGGGCTTGGATTCCCACGAGGAAAAGCCGCTTACCTGGATTCCTGAATTCGATCCCCGTTGTGGTCAGCATTTCCTTGGCTTATCCTTACACGTCCTGAGCGTCAGGATTCCAGCAATCGCCCTAATTAAAATCATGATTCTCGAGCCAAACTTCAAAAAACTTCAAAACATTTATTAGAGGCGGCATCCTGGCCCTGCCCTGTATGAAGCCAACTCTGGCCTACGTCATTCACAGTCCCGTGGGGCCCTGTTCCCCCCCCGCCGGGTGTGTCATAAATCAGATTCTCCAACCGAGCAACTTCACGTGGCTGGGTGTCATCAATCATGTTCTCCAACTAAATATATTCGTGGGCAAAAGCTCTGGCAGTTTAGCTACAACCTTTTAAAGAGAAGAGCTGGAATGCGCTTTCGCTTCCAAACTGATGCACCGCTCTTCCAGATTTCCTTCCTTTTCCCCCTCCTTTTTTTACGGCAACTCCTAAAACAGGCGTAGGAATGTTTGATGAGTTGACCCTGAGCAGGTGGGCACACCTGGGGACAAAGGCCAGGGCTGTCTGTCTTCCTGCACACACAACACATACATACACACCTCCTAGAGTATCCTGTGCCCCCCAAAATGGGGCTCAGAGGCATTCTGGGAAATGGACGGAATGTCAGATGGACTGAGAGCGGAGCCGGTTTTCAACTCCGCAATCTTCCCCCTACACTTTGGGATGGTGGTGGGGTGGACACCGTCAAGGCTGCGTGGTCGGGGACATTGATTTTGATTTTTTTTTATTCGTATTTTGGGGTTTTTTTGCTTTTTTTGAATTTTGCTTTGGATTCTGTCATTGTTTTGGTTTTAGTTTTGATTATTCTGCTTATACATTTTTTTGCTTTTAATTGCCACGCATCTTGTCCGGGGAGGGGTGACTCTCTTTGATCAGGGAAGGGGCATGGAGACTGTTATTTCTCTGCCCAAATTCCCAGTTTTGCCCCCACAGTCATGTTGGCTGCGTTTGGATGACCGTTCTGCCCAAAATCGGCGTGTCCTTCTGAATTTCAGCCCAAGCTGCACCTGCGGTGAACCATTCACTTAACCCCTGCTGCAAAAGTTGAAAAAAAAAAAATTAGGTCAATGACTTTGCCTGACCCATTTTTTACGACCGATGTGAGTTCATGACCATCATGGGCGGGCTCCATGACGGTCATAACTTGAGGACTACCTGCATGCAGGCTTACCCATCAGCCACATAGTTTTTCTGGGTGGGATTTATAGACTGGAACGAGGCTCTTTTAAGATTGTGGGCTCCTTAGTACTCTGGGCTTTGATTGTTTGTTTGTCTGGTGTTAATCCCTGCTTATCTGAGTTTCTCTTTTTTTGTGTGAATTTCTTGGCGGCCTTCCTGCAGATGTTTCATTACCCAACTAGGCAACATCGTCAGTGCTAGTAGGGGGTGTGGGGTTTGTTCTCTGTTTATATAGCAGTGGCTTGTCCTATCAGTGTTGGTGAAGGAATGTATTTTCTTCCCTTGGGGCTTCTTTGATTAGGATATTGCTTGATTGTTTGTCTGGTGTTAATCCCTGTTTATCTAAGTTTCTCTCTTTTTTTGGTGAGTTACTTGGTGGCCTTCCTTCAGATGTTTCATTACCCAACTAGGTGGTAACATCAGTGTGGGGTTTGCTCTCTGTCTTTATACTAATGGCTTCTCCTGTCAATGTTGAGCAGTTTTTCCCTTGATAGTCCCGTGATTAGGGTATTGCTGGATTATTTGTCTGGTGTTAATCCCTGCTTATCTGAATTTCTCGTTCTGTGGATTCCTTGCTGTTCTCTGAGCTTGGTGGTGGTCTTGCCGATCTTTCTTTACCAAACTACCTAATATCATCAGTACTAGGAGGGAGTGGGCTTTGCTCTCTGTTTATCTGCTAGTGGCTTGCTCTGTCAGGGTTGGTGGGAGAATGTGTTTTCCCCCTTGGTAGTTCCTTGATTAAAGTATGGCTTGATGGTTTGTCTTGTATTAAAGTATGGCTTGATGGTTTGTCTTGTATCGTCAAACCAGATGTAAATTTAACATCCGGTTCGTGCAAACCAGCCCAAACCGGATGAATCTCACCTCCTGCCAACAGTTCTCCTAGCCCAGAGATAGCCCTTGCTTCTCTGAGATTCCTTGGTGTTCTTTGAGCTTGGTGGCTTTTGTTGTAGTTTGCCGGCAGCCCGTGCAGGCGGCAGCGGAATTGGACAGTGGGGAAGAACGGGGACCGGACTGGGAGTCTGGGGAGGACTTGGACGAGGGTCCTGCATCCGATGCAGGGATGGTGTTAGGACCATCTGGGAGAGGGATGCTGCCTCCAGCGCCTCCGGAGTCTGGTAGCAGCGAGGCAGAGGAACGAAGGGAGCCTGTTCCCAGTGCGCATGTGCACAGAGCTGCCAGAAGGCGAGAGTAGCTGAGACAAATGAGGCAATTGGGGAATAAGTCTTGGAGGCGACATAATTCCAAGCGTTGAAATAAAAAGAGAATTGTTTGGACTAAGTGTGTGCTTAATGATGGTCTCAGGAAGCCTTGTTCAGAACAGTTTTCTTGCAGACCTTTCATTACCCAACTAGGTTACATCATCAGTGCTACACTCAGTGCCTAACCCCATCTAGTGTTCCAAAGGTCTCTGGAGCCACATCAAATTAAAAAGCGGCTGTCTCTGGGCTAGGAGAACTGTTGGCAGGAGGTGGGATTCACCCGGTTTGGGCTGGTTTGCACGAACCGGATGTTAAATTTACATCTGGTTCGAACGAACCGGTAGTTGAACTTTCCTCGTTTCCAGCGAAGCCATCTTCTTACATTTTCTTCTCGTTGTTTTTCAGGAGTCCTACCACGATCCCTGCAGGCAGAGGACTGAGTGGCGCCCTTTCGCTGATCAACAAAAATAAAGGCTCTCCAAATTGGAGCCGGAAGCTCTACGGCAACTGTGTCCTTTTCCTTGGTCCCTGAGATGATTTCGATCTTAGTAATAAACCCTTCCAATTGTTTGCCCTCAAAACTGCAGATCCCATGCAGAAGCCCATGTCCTCCTTCACTGTTCGGTTCCACTATGACCGTGATAGCAAAGAGCCATTTGTGTGGGCCCGCGAGCCCCAGCCAAACTTACCTTACCTGCACTGCGCATGCGCACGCCTCCCGACTGATTTTCGACCCGTTTGAGGCCTTTTTCGCCCTCCCGGAGGTTCGAGGGAAGCCTCTGCAGCCTTTGGTGGCCGAAAAAACAGGCCCATTTCGTCACTTCCAGTATTTCTGGAAAGAAATATTGTGACAGAACGGGCCTGTTTTTCGGCCTCCAAAGGCTGCCGAGGCTTGCCTTGAGCTTCTGGAAGGTCAAAAATCAGCTGGAAGGCGCACACATGCAGATAAGGGGGTGGGGGTATTGCACGCGCATGTGCAGGGGGGTGGGACGCATTGTATTGCGCACGCGTGTGCTTTCGGCACACCACAACAAAAAGGTTCGCCATCGCTGCCCTATCAATTGAGCTATCAGTGTGATAGCTGTTAGTCTCCAGATGGCCACTGGGTGGCAGCAAACAGGATTTCTTTTCTTAAAAAAATACCTTTGGTGCCATCTGGTGGTCAAGTAGAGATTTGCTGCAAATTCTAACAGCGAAATTCAACACAGGTAAGTTCTCGACTTACGACCACATTAGAGCCTAAAGTTTGCACAGCTAAACAAGACAGTACAGGTAGTCCAAGACAGTTTAATTGTTGAAGTTCCAACAGCAGTCAAACAAGGGACTTATGACCATTTTTCACACTTACGTCCGTTGCAGCATCCCCATGCTCACGTGATCAAAAATTCAGGCATTTGACAAAGCAACTCACATTTATGACGGTTGCAATGTCCTATGGGTCACATGATCCCCTTTTGCAATCTTTTCAGAAGCAAAGTCAACTGTGAAATAACCGGGTGACTTTAATTTAACAGCTGTGGCAATTCCCTTAACGGATGTTGGCAAGAGAAGTTGTAAAATTGGGGCAAAACTCGCTTAAGCAATGTCTACCTTAGCGACATAACTTATGCCCTTGTTAGAGTCGGACTCTGAGGAGAGGAGGAACAGCTGATAGGGAGTGGAGGTGTGGCCCCGGGAGGTTGTGGAGGAGGCTGGGGAAGGGCAGAGGCCGGCTGGGCAGTCAGAGGAAGAACCAGGCCCATCCTCTCTGCATCCTAGGGCACACAGGGAGGAACGGAGAAAGGAACAACTTGGCTTACGAGAGAGGAAGCGGCCATGATCCCCTCATTGGCTGCAGCTGGGAGGAATAGTATATAAGAGAGACGATTACAACATAGCGTTGCCAGAAGCAAAGTGTGTTTTATTTTGGGCTAAGTTATCTTGTTTGGTGTCCTTCCAACAGACTCTGCCTTGTTATCTCCTTGAAGTTGGTAAATACTTGTCCTGGCCAATTTTGGAAATTCCTTCGTTGTAGTTTGTTTTGGTTTTTTTATTTCACCTCTATCTGCTCATTAAGTTCAGACTGTATTGCTTTCTTTCGAAGACTATTTTTGTATAAGTTTTATCTCCAACTGAGAATTATTGAACAACGGGGCCAAGTTGGGGGCATGAAAGGACATTTAGTTACGTTTTGGATTTTGTTACATTTGGGTTACCCTCTGAGTCATCACATAACTCTTGGGCTCAATTTGCGGTCGTACGTCGAGGACTACCCATAGCTCAGTTGAGTTTTGTCCCCTTTTACGATGTTCCTCGCTACAAGTCATTAAGCGAATCGCAGCAGTTAAGTTAGCCACCCGGGTTGTTCAGTGAATCAGGGGCTCTGCTCGTCAGTGCAAACCGTCATAAATACGAGTCAGTTGCCAAGCGGCTAGATTTAGATTACCTGACCACGGGGAGGCTGTAACGGTCATAAGAGTGAAAAATCGTGGAGAGGGACTTTTTTTCCCAGTGCTGTTGTGTAACTTCACATGGTCACTAAAGGAGTTTGGGGTAAGTTCAGGACTATCTGGATAGGAAAAAAAAGCCTGCAAGCTATTTTTCCCACCAGACACACACACATATACACAAAAGGAGACGATATTGTGTTGATTACTTTCCTGAAACATCTACCAAACTTTCCTGGAAACTTAACAGAATAACAGAGTTGGAAGGGACTTTGGAGGTCTTCTAGTCCAGCCCTCTGCTCAGGCAGGAGAATGGCTGTTCAATCTTTTCTTTAAAAAGTGGGGAAGCACCAGGAGACTGGGAGTTCTAGTTCCAATTTAGGTGTAAAAACTGGCTGGGTGACTTTGGCAAATCACTAGGTGACCATGAGTTCAAGTCCCACCTTAGGCATGAAAGCCAATGGGCTGACTTTGGGCCAATCACCGGGAGACTGGGAGTTCTAGTTTCAATTTAGGCATAAAAGCCAGCCTGGAGACTTTGGGCCAACCACCAGGAGACTGGGAGTTCTCATTCCACTTTAGGCATGAAAGTCAG